CACATGTGATTACGAAACCCTAAAATCTATGGTTTTCTATTACCATCTGCACTTTTGTTTAATTAGCATCATAGATTTCCAGAACWTTAAAACTATGTGCCACATTACCTCTGTAGGGACTAGAGGGCATTAGTAAATCCCTTTATAATCAACTCACATTGTTCATGCTCTATAGACAACAAGGGAAATATAAAAACAAAGCTGAAAATGTTTACCCCTTTTGTATACATTCTAAACTTCCAACTGAACCACGAATATTTTTTAAAATTCTTTTTATTTTCATTATCTTAAAAGTCTAACATCAGAATATTATAGAAAACCTTCTTAATTGATAACTAAAATWGTTAGTTACCTTGAACGTCGGCAATAAGCCATATACATCGCTCGGGCCTGCGGCTCTCGGGATGTATATGGCTTATTACCTCCSTTCTCGGTAACTAACTCTTACATCTTAAATTACACTAACCTGACCAAAAGACTCGTGGTGTCTGACGAAATAAATATATTTATTTCAAGAACCGCGTACATGCGACATAAATTCGTTTAGAAATTTGTTTAAATGGTTATTTGTTTTTCGCTAACCGTTCTGAAGTTCTCGATCTCTCCATTATTCTTCAAATATAGTTTCTTAAAATATCCAAACCAGTAAAGTGGAATGAAACTCGGTTAAAGGATTCAAAACTTAATTTGATTACCGCGTAAAATTTAATGCAGTRATATTCATGCCTTATAAACTAAAGACTGAAAGCCGTATTTTCCTTTAGGCTATACTAACCCACGCGATTGAAGCCAGAATACTGCCGACTGAGTAGCTGTACTAATACTAGTAAATATTTGAATTACAATCCTAGAAAGTCTTCTTTTACCGCTCAATTATACTATTTCTAAAGCCAGGATTTACATCCTCAGCTGCTAAGCCAGTCTATAAACCATTAATCTATGAACACGTCACTCAAATCCATATATGGGTACTCTTGCGCAACAATGCATTTTTCGCGAGATGAAGAAGACAAAAAAACCCAAAGGCATTTTGCGACTGAGCTGCCACAGGCAACCCAGTAACAAGGGAACGAGGGCGTTCTTCGATAAATACCTCGTTTCAAATCAGTGTAATATTTTGTTATTAATCTTATACTTCATTTATGTTTTTATAATTGCATTGCATGGTACAAACTGCACAAACAAACGTAACAATTTGTTTTTGATTACTTAATTATCGGCATATCACGTGGTTTGGATGATGTCATTGAATGGTATACTTAACATCAATACTTGTTGTTTGGTTATAGGGACAAGATGGACGAAGGGTAAGTGCAATTCTATTTGTCCTAGAGATAGATATGTATAGCTTATGATGAAGATAAATTTTAATATCGCCCGGCCCTTCTTTCTATCAAGACACAATTTGTGAATTTAATAAACCAATTTGAAATTTTTGAATTCCTGTTTGAGTTGCCTCGGTTCAAGCATATATTAGATGAAGGAAAGAAACAATAATGCAAGAACTTGTCAACTTTTACTTACTGATTTTTTATTCCATTTTAGGGACCCCCTGGACCTCCTGGACCTCGGGTATGTATGTTGTGGTTTATTTTATACGTTGTAATTTGTACTTTCTTATTACTACCTTTTTTAATAATATCAAACACGGCGACTAAAGATTTTGTCTCATTAAAGGGCGAGCCAGGAGTTGCGGCACCAAGAATGTTCCAGGTTTCCCGTGCTGGTCCAAACAAAGGCCCAGCTCCTTTAGTACCTGGTGGAACTGGTGGAGCTGGAGGAGCAGGTGGCGGTGGACCCGGTGGTGGAGGAACTGGTGGTGGTGGAGGTGGTGGACTCGGTGGTGGCGGATTTGGTGGTGGTGAAGGTGGAGCAGGAGGTGCCGGTGGAGGAGGAGGTGCTGGAGGAGGTGCTGGTGGAGGAGGAGCAGGAGGAGCTGGTGGTGGAGGTATCGGAGGAGGAGGAGGTGGCTTCACTACTGGCGGCGGCGGTGGTACTGGCGGAGGCGGTTTTACTACTGGTGGCGGTGGTACTGGCGGAGGCGGTTTTACTACTGGTGGTGGTGGTGGTGGTGGTGGTGGTGGTGGTGGTTTCACTACGGGTGGCGGCGGTGGTGGTGGTACTGGCGGTGGTGGTTTTACTACTGGCGGCGGTGGTGGCTTCACTACTGGCGGCGGCGGTGGCGGCTTTACTACTGGTGGTGGTGGTGAAGGAGGAGGAGGCTTCACTACGGGTGGCGGCGGCTTTACTACTGGTGGTGGTGGTGGTGATGGAGGAGGAGGCTTTACTACTGGTGGTGGTGGTGATGGAGGAGGAGGATTCACTACGGGTGGTGGCGGCTTTACTACTGGTGGTGGTGGTGGTGGTGATGGAGGAGGAGGCTTTACCACTGGTGGTGGTGATGGAGGAGGAGGCTTCACTACGGGTGGCGGCGGCTTTACTACTGGTGGTGATGGAGGAGGCTTCACTACGGGCGGCGGCGGCTTTACTACTGGYGGTGGTGGTGATGGAGGAGGAGGCTTTACTACTGGTGGTGATGGAGGAGGTTTTACTACGGGCGGCTTTACTACTGGTGGTGGACCAGCAAGACAGGTGTGTTTTTATGTAAACAAACAGACAAAGGGTATACAGAGGAACTTTCATTATTAGAGAGTTAGAAAGCCGTATTCCTTTCAACGTTACAGGAGGTTATGTTCTTCTTTGTTTTTAGTATCATTTTAAGGGGGTTTCGTAAAGATTACAGCCATTGGACCTGCAAATGTGCAAATTAAAACAACATAAAACGTGTATGACGGCATTTTTGCCAAGTTTGACAGACACACTGTTCTTTTCAGTGTTATAAAGTTTTTGTTTCATAAATGAAGATCAACCATGCTGACAACTTGCATATTTGTTCAACAGAAAAGATCTCTCGGCGACACCGGTGTACTCGACGTTGTTAGCGAAGAATCGGTAAGGAAAACCAGATTATTACTTGGTCAGTACTGGTGTTTTTGTTATGGGTATTAAAACACTCTTTTTTACTAAAAGACCGATGAATGGAGTCGAGTGGCTCTGGAACTGTCTGAGTCTGTGATGTCATTTGAACGACGAGACGGAAGCAAGAAATACCCTGCCAAGACTTGCAAAGATCTTTCCACTTGCTACCCTCAACTGCCAAATGGTACGTAAAACATACATGACTCCCTCAGAGTAATTGTAAAGTATATTAATCACTGATGGTTTGTCTCACAGGTCACTACTGGATTGATCCTAACATGGGCTCCAACAAAGATGCTATTCGAGTATTCTGTAACATGACTACACGTTCCACATGCTTATCGCCCAAGACACAAGTAAGTGTACACCAATATATACATTAGGGGGGGAGGGGGGTACCCTGTGGATTCAAATGGAGTAAACGAGTAGCTCCCTAATATGGATGTTGTTCATGGTAAATATACGTGTTGGTGTCCAAGTACTTTATTACATGAAATTTTCGCGGCACTCGCGATTCTGCGAAAAAACGCCATCCTAAGTCACTTTAATTTCGCGCCGGGGATTTCATTGAATGAGTTTTTCATTACCTGTTTAAATTCAAACACAAGTTTCCTTGAACAAAACGACTTTATTAAGTAACAGTAACCACAACACATATCAAATTATTAAATTCAATTTGAAGAATATATATTTGTTGTATTACAGATCAGCCGAAAGAAATGGAATACACAAATTACCCGCGGATACTCCTGGTTCTCAGACGATTTGAACAATGGAGGCAAAGTAAGGTTTCCTTCAGTTCCCGTATCAAACTTCGCTTTGCTTGTGCTTGTAATTAAATATAATATAAACTGGAGAGACATTAGTCATGTGACTATTAGATATAAATAGAACAGTACGAAAGTAAGACATTTCCTTCTATTAAGGGACTGGTCATAAAGTATAGAGGGGGGCGGGGGGCAAAATCAGGGGGTGGGTCACATAATTTTGAACTCCTTCAAAGGGGTGGGCTGTTAATAAAATTTGAATTTGTAGGCCATTACAAAATAGAGTAGTATTATAATTGTCATCATCAGAATTTCTCAAGAAAATTTGCAGTTGCAGAGGATCTGGTTAGGAAGTATGTAGAACATCTGTAGTACCTTCGAATGAAAAAAATTATAAAAGGGCAAATGAAAAGAAAAAGAAAGTAAGGAAGCATGCCGAGAAACTTAAAGCATACGAAGACTATGACTGGAAAGACATACAAGAAAGCGGAATGCTTAAGAAGCAGAGGGATGTAGTCTTGGACCGCTTTTTAAAAAAGCACAACTTGCTCAAGCTCAAAATGTACAAAAGTGAGAAAGTCCAAGTAATAAGTGCTTGGCTGTCTATGCAGCTTTTAAATACTACGACAAGTACAACAGAGGAAGAGCTAAAAGAATATGGTACTTCACGCGAGGACACTGAAGATGATGATAATTCATATGAAGACACTAATGAGGATACTGAAGATTTGGATAGCGACGAAGAAACTGACATTGTTACTCATGAAATAGGAATTACTGATAGCGAGGAAAACGATGACAGAGAAAGAAGAAGTCGAAACAGTCAATGTTACAATAAGTGGTAGACGTGTGCAACCAAGAAAATTCTTTTGGGATTTAGATTTTTTCAGGGGTGGGTCACCTGCAATTTTGCTTCTAAACTGGGGTTGGGTCATCACATTTTCGGCATCATTTCATGATGGGCCAAGATAAAAAAATACTGATTCTATTCTGATTTTGTCCCCCCCCCCCCTCCCTATACTTTATGACCAGTCCCTAAATATATGTTCACTTGGTGTCATATGCGCATTTTCTCATGCGATGACAACAATATTTATCTTACATTCTTGTGTTGCAGATTGAATACGGAGTGGATGAAGTCCAAGTCTCACTTCTTCAACTCTTGAGTAATAAAGCAGAGCAGAAGTTCATCTATCACTGCAAGAAATCCGTTGCCTGGTACGATGTTGTCTCAGCCTCTGCCAAGAAGGGCCTCAAACTAATGGGCGCCAACGAGTATGAATTTAGTTCCATTAGTAACAGAAGAGCAAGACCTAAAGTACTATTGGATGAATGTAAAGTAAGTAAACACTAAATGATCATACCCAGTCCCTACTCTGTCCACTTGTCAAAAGAATAGACAACTGACCGTAACGTATTTTTGTGTTGTCATATTGTCCATTAAGTATTTTTTGTTCCTGGCAAAGCTGATTGTTTAACATACTAATGGGCGTAGCCAATTTGATTATTCCTATCTTTCATAACATTCCGAACACATGTAACCCTGATTGCTGATATATTGTCTTTTTTCTTTAGATCCGTGACTCACAATGGCGTAAGACCATCATACAACTAGATACAACCAAGTCATCACGTTTACCTATTGTAGATTTTGCTACATACGATATCAAAGAAGGAGAGTTCGGCGTTGAAGTTGGTCCAGTATGTTTCTCATGAGCTGTAAAATAACAACTTACCTCTTTTTTTTTTTTTGAATTGTAAAATTCTGAGATGAAGTCCTACAGAAGATCTTCCTCTATTCATTCAAATAGGTTTATTACTTTGTATTCAAGGCGTAGGTCTGTAGGGATTGTGATATTATTAAAGACATTGTCAGTACTTTGATTGTTCCATTGTACGTCATAGCAAATCATTCAGGTCTAGCTTTCATGATTGATTCATTAATCAGTGATGTTGATGAAGTATCGATTAAAATAGGTGCTTATTATATATGAATATCACTGTTGTATAAAGGAGACCTCTGTGGTATCATTTATATTAGTAAAATTAAGATATTTTCAGATCCAATAAATGTTTTGTAATTCATTTGAAAGACGTCAAGGAAAGGTTAGAAAACTATAGTAAGGAATGGATCAGGAGAGAAATGCATGTTTGTTTCACGTTTATTAGAGTGATTACCACAAGTATTTTATATACCGGTCTTTTAATCTGTTCTTATCAAAGGAGCATACTTCAGCATTGCCCTCCCGGCTCTAGGCATAACGAATGTTTGAAGCTGCTGAGAGATAGGCTAAGAGAAAGGCAATATGACACATGACGCGTTGGCCAACATTGAGATCCTCTTATAAGTTGGCATGTATTGAGATCTTCTACTTTTACAGTTTTAAAAGATTATCGACTGATGCCTAATCAACCGTCCGGTCAAATCAACAAATTCCCTCATGCGTAAACCTAGCCTATGAAGGTCAAGACAAGTAAAGTTATATCATGGATAGGATGAATATTGTCAATCTTAATCGTGTGCTATCTTATTTGTTCATGCCTTTATCGGTCCCCTTTATCCTACTTTACCTATCATACCATTCATTACAACAGTGATTAAAACATACTCCTACCTCGTCTAATCTGATGCAACAAATCTATCATTAATTGATATTATCTAGTTCTATTATTAGGACTCGTGCTGAGAGAAACCAATTTACCAGTGGGTCATTTTAACCCATCGATWAGTCTTGGCCTTTTATGAATCTCAACCAGGTGGTGTTCATATGATGATGGGGGGTCATCATGATGGGGGGCTTGCATCACCGTGTCATTGTTTGTGTTTGTTATCTCCCATTAGTTTACTAAGTCCGACATTAGTCTCACACCACTCTGAGCTTTCATTTTATTCACTCCTTATCGGTTTATACTGAGTCCCTTGGGTCCCAGATGATCCCAGAAATCTCTGCAGGCGTCCATCAAGCACATGCTTACAAGTAGCACTCTAAGTTTAACAATACGAACAATAGGAAGTGTATAATACTAAACAGCCCTCTAGCTGTATCCTGTAAAGAGGCTCAAAGTCTCGAACAACAAGCATCTCACTTCAGTATGCAACTATCTTTTTATATCAACAAAAGCCACTAATAGCGTCTATTTTCAGCCCCAGGGGATATTTTCTCAACCCCCTTCCATTCTGGAGCCCTGATGAACAGCAAGAATGCATGTGATAACATTAAAACTCTGATCGATAGTCTGTTATCTGAGCTGACAGAACTGTTCCTAACTATGCCAAACTTTATTTTTTTCGTCGAAAATGAGCGAGAGTCAAAATTTTATAGGGTGCTTATAGTGTCAGTTGAATTCAGTTCACAGCTAGGCAAGCTTGTGTTAGCACATCTGTTACTGTGAAGAAAAGAAGAGTGGAAACCGATGATATTGCATTCGAAAGGGTAAAACACCAAATAAACGTAAAGCAAAAAAAGGCCAAGCGTGAAATAAATTTTGATAAAGTGATGGAATTTTCATCCATATCTCGCGCTACGGTCAATAAATATCGGTATAGACTTATGCGGATATCAGTTTACATATGTGAACGAGTACAACATCGATGGATTTATTTGGCAACATTCCTCCCTACTTAATGCACATTTAGATAAAATATAACGATAAACTTACTTGCTCCGGTCAGACTTTTAACAAAATCACCTAATGAGCCAAAGGTTCGAAACTGATGGATGTGATTATGAGTACGATAGATGGAATGACTGCATGTACGTCAATATAGCACAAAATAACTACAAACACCAAATGTCGCTTTGTATTCTTTTCCTTTTTCCTCTACTTTCAAGTAAAAAGAAGAACTAAAGATTTACTGACTGATCATCAAATATTATCGTTGTAATATAGAACTTACTAACTAAAAAATGATGCGAATACCCTGTGGTAGAGTATATGCATGTTTTCTCAGCCCTCAGGGACAGGAGTACTTTCAGTTGTTCAGTCCAATTCAGTATTGTATTCTAGTAAAACTACCTTCAATTGTGATTCATAATAGTTTTAGGAAACAAAAATGCAAACTTAAAACCCCAAAAATTATTATCTGGATATTTTTAGTAATACTGCCCGCCAATGCAGTGACTCTGGATGTCATGTCTTCCATGAACACATGAACGATGGGCAGGTAACACAAGACATTTCAAACTTTGGATTGTTAACAGAACTTAAGTTTTGTCCCAAGAAGCTTATTTCGTTGAGACGTGCTGAAGTTACTGGTATTCAGTAAGTCAGTAATGCTCGTCATCAGTTTGACTTAAACCCTATACTTTATAAGCATTTGGATTCAAAGCTGGCATTTCTAAGTGTTAAGTAGGTAAACCTTATTTCTTGCTTGTCAAGTTTTTGAATCACTGTCAAGAAATAATGGCTGATAAGAAAATCTTGTTATATCGTATACAGCAGATGAGAATACTGTCTAGGTTATCTGCTCGTCATGGCAAATATCTGGATAAATCATCTGAATAAATAACGATAATGTGGAGGTTAAATAACGATTGCAATAAGGAAGATATATGTTGGCAGCCAAAATCTTGTATCTAACACTAACCACAGCAGTGTACTGGAGGATCTATTGTTGACTTTGCTGCCATTCAGGCAAATCATTCAGGCGTTAGGTCATTTTGAATCATATTTGATTTGCTTTCTTTATGTTAGTCAAGACAGGGGATTAATGAGCCCAATCAATAGCTCAGTAACACTCCGGGTGATCTTGTTCTCCTCCTTCATAATTGCACATCCACGCCTCCTCTAACATTTATGACTCTTTACTTGTCATTCAAAAGAAAGCCATGGTGTTTTTATTGGTTCATTGGGCACAAATTCGTTTCGACAAGTGCGCTAATAGCACGTGCAGTACGTCAACTGGAAACTATTCTAGTGATTAAAGCTCTCAGCAGTTAACTGACCCATTCAGAAACGTCCTGTCTGTTCACTTTCAAGGGTCTGCAAGATGAAGATCCTGTTGGTTTTACTGCTCGTTCTTCTATATGTTCAACAAATACAATGCGTTGTTTATGGCTTACTGCTGAGCCTAACCGCTACTCATGACGACAAGGATACTAGCAACATCAGTAACTCTACTTCCAATGACGCTATCAAGGTAAGCTGCTTCACTCTACCAGTAAAAGTAGCAATGAAGTTATATCTATGACGATATAGTGCATGATTTGTCTAGTTTCTAAGTTTAATCTGTTGTTACTTGGATGTTTTTCAGAATGATGCTTTTGTGTGCAAGAAAGACAAACACTGTGGAAAAGGAAGGTATTGCCATCGGTTTTATGGAAGCTGTCATGACCTTAAACCATTAGGAGCACATTGCCGTAGAGATCACGTCTGCTCACATGGCATGGAGTGTGTGTTTGGTAAATGCAGAAAAGCGATCAAAAAAGGAATCGAAGGAGCGCGTTGTACTGTAGACAACGAATGCAACATGAATTTATGTTGCGCGCCAACACATGGAGAATGGCTTTGTAAGAAGATGTTACGAGAGAATGACATATGTACTGTTCCTGAAGGAGGGCTTGCCTTTCGCATTAACCACAGTTGCCCGTGTGGCGAAGGGTTTCGTTGCAATAGAGTTCGTCAACACAGAAAGAAAAAGTAAGTACTGATGCATTTATGTTTGCTCGAGATCATCGAACTATCAGCCATTCATGTCCAAAGTCATTCGTCTTGTCTAGAACTGATTTGGCTTTTGCTATTGTTTCGCAGGATTTCAAGATTATTTCGAAAGGAAAGAAGATGTGTCAGGATTAGTTAAGGTTTTCTGTCAAACTTCGAAATCCCCTTAACAAGAAACAAATACCAGGTGTCCAAGACACTACCCAGTTCAGCTATTGGTTATCGATCACTACCATCCATGACCATCCAGTCAGTCAGTCAGTCAGTCAGTTCAGTCAGCAGAGCCAGCTAGTCATGCAGTCTGCTGTAGAAACATAGTGCACTTTGTTCTTGTGTACGTTAAAAATCAATATACGAACCATTATATAATTCAAAAATAACAGTACAATTACTTGTAAATAGCATATTAGACAATATTAAGGTTGCCAAAAATTCATTAAATTTAGAAATGTAAATTAGCAAGCAATGGAAGTATCCAAATCATACTCGGGAATGAAGTGGGGTAAATAAATTGTAGATTTTGTGTTAAGCAAAAGTGTTGACACTTCTGTTTGACAATACAATAGACATGCATGGAACTTTTAAAAGACATTTATAAGTTATTATAAAGACAAGAAAATGTTATTAATTCAGAAGGCACTTGTTGTAGTTGTCTATTGAAACCTTCGTCTTTGTAGTGTAAAATAAATCTAGAGTTTATCGAAGTTTTAGACTCTGAAGGCTCCCGTATAGCCTGTTGAAAACGCTAATTAGTTTATTGGCCAATAGAAAAAGAAAAACACACCTTTAATGCCCTCTTACAACAACAGAACAACTGAACCAAGAAGAAAAGATAATTGAAATGTCATTGCCAATTTGACGACATTATATTAAGCCAAGCTGATTGAACTAGACAAGATTGAATGAATTGAAAGGGCTGTCTATAACGATGAGGGAGGGAAAAGACCATATTCAAATAGCTATAAAACAAAGGTTTAAAAGTGCGTAGCATTACTATATATCTTATGGGATGGAAAGTCATTGTCTGTGCTTGTTTACAGCTTTTTAACAGCCTTGAAAGGCTTTCGTAATTTACGGAACGTGTTTGCCAAAAGTCAGAAGGTCAATGAATAATGAGTTGTGAACCGTTAAACAAACATTCAAACTTTCTTTAAACATTTTTTAGGGTTTTATTTGACCAACGCGTTGATAATTCAGTTTGAAGTCTTCTTCTTGTTGAGTTCGTCTCGGCTTATGCTCTTACACACAGTATTTATCATCAAGCGACCTCGCACCATGGCACTTATACAATAACGGTTTTTCTCTTTTTCTCTTGATGCTAGACTTTTTCTTGAACAAACTTTCGCCCTACATGACATCCTAGCTCGACACACATTCTCAAGTACTCAGGGCAGTAAGTATATTGACATGTTCAAGTACCAAATGATGTGTTTAACTGACCCCGTGCCATCCAAATTGTATATCCTAAGTCATCCCTACTTTCTAATATGAGACATGGCCGAATTGTGTTATAAGGGAATGGGAATATCTCCTAAAGAGTATGGACAAAATAAACCACCTCCCGGTCTTATTGGGCACCGGCTTGTTGTGCGAGAGGTCGTGGCGGGTTCAAATYTCCGCGGCCGGACCCACACTTAGGGTCTTAAAATACCTCAGTAGAAGGTGCTGCCTTTGCGTTAGAAATTGGTTACTAGTCCTTCGCCGTGATAACCCTGTGACAGTTTACAACTGTCAATTGTTACTCTCTCTGAATATCATCATCATCATTATCATCCATGCTCATTAACAACAACTCGGTCAAAACTGATTAAATTATAATTTTTATTGAAAATTTCAATATATACAACATATAACAATATTTAACATACTTATAATAACTAGTGAGTTTGTTTTCTAACTTTCAGGGGCGATATCAGTTTCATTTTCAACAATGTCTAAATAAGATYGTATTTCTATCACTACTTCCCTACGCCGTTGTTTCACAGCCTCAATACCTCTAGTCTCTATAGAGTCTAAGTCTAGGATACAACGAAGTAGCATTTCTGTTAAATAGAGTTTTTGTTTATCAGTCATTGGTGACATAAGCACTTCTTTTGGAGCGAGTTCTCTTGCCCTTTTTAGTTGTTCGTCTATTAATTTCAACTTTTCCTTCGTGTAGTTTTCCTCTGGGTTTTCCATTTTGTCGTCTTGATTTTCATCTTCGCTTGGTTGCTCTTCGATCATTTTTTCTTTGAATTCTTTATTTATTTTTTCTTCAGTCTCATTGATTTTCTCGCCATCAGAGCCTTGTTCGACGGTTTCACATTCTTCCAATTTGTCTTCACTTGTATTTTGTTCTTCCATCTTGTCAATGCCTTCCATAGCTGAAGCTGTCGTCTCAAGCTGTTTTTCTTTTTCCTCTGTTATATTCTCCTTCTCTCTTTCTCTCTCGTCGATTGGAAACCCCGAGTCTAGATCTTCTGTTTCTGTCTGTACATCTTGTTTTATTCCCACGTCATTGGAACCAGTAATTTCCTCAGCGGAGTCGTTGTGCCTTGGTGTAGTTATGACTCTTGTGTTTGTGCTTTTAGGGGATCCGTGACTCTTGTGTCGGCTTTCATTACCCCCTTTTCGTTGAGTGGTATAATAATTCTCCTCGACTGGGTCCTCTAAAGGCATTTCTTCTTCATTTCGACTGGGAATCTCCCAAAATGGAGTAGTCCAAGTTGGTTGTCTTCTCCTATGATATGCCGATCGTCCGTGATGTTGTTGTCTCGGTGGCGTACGATTGTAACCCCAGCTTGTCCATGGGCTAAAGTCTTCGAATTCGTTGTCAAAATAAGCGAATGGGTTTCTTGAAAACATTGTATCAAACATCATTTTTGCTTTAACTTCAAGTAAATTTTAGGCTCCAATTTATTTGCGCGACTTTATATAGGGTTTTCTGCCATTTCTCGAAATTTCGTGACGTTTCTAGACGTCACGTCATATGCTATTTTTAATTGGCTAGAAGCTGCCAGAAGGTTCTTGAAAAAAAGAGTCAAAAGCCTTTCAGGAAAATTTTGAACTCGCGAGAAAAAGGCAATCAAAKTGCTAGGTTCGATCAAGACCTTCTTTTAAATGGTAAAAATAAATTCTTTCTCAACTTGACTTGGCTGATTTTACATATTTATGTAATTTCGAGAAACTATTAAATACATTTTAAGAATATTCGAGAGTGAACATTCGTGACGCTACGAAAACCAGTTCAGTGTCAAAATAAAAGACATGTTTCTYAAAAAGTGTATATTACTTTTWSAGAAATGAATAAATTGTTRCTAMATAAATYTTCTAGTTCTAAGGATAKTACATTTGAGTGTTTTTATAGAAAAAATATGGCTTAAAAATATGGCAATTTCTTGAAATTTCTTCGATGGTCTTCGAATCTTCCAGAAAGTGGTGGCGTGACATTTGACACGCATTACGTCACGGAATTTTCCAGAAGGGTCTAGAATAAAAACAGAAAGTATATAAAAGTGGAGCAACGCGACTGCAGGTCAATTCAAGTACTATTCGAAGTAAAGAGAAGACAAAATTTGTACAATGGGTAAAGACTTTTATAAGATTTTGAACGTCGACCGATCGGCGAATCAAGACGAAATCAAGAAGGCTTATCGCAAGCAAGCCTTAAAATATCATCCCGATAAAAACAAGACCCCAGGAGCAGAGGAAAAATTCAAAGAGATCTCACAGGCCTATGAAATCCTCAGCGATGAAAAGAAGAAAGCAATTTACGATCAATACGGAGAAGAAGGACTTGGAGGACAGCCACAACCTAATGGTCCCCAAAACACTGGCAGTACACACTTCAGTGGAGGGCCTGGCTTTACTTTCACCTCATATTCGACCGGGGACGCCAGGGAAACATTCTCAAGGGCATTTGGAGATGAAGATCCATTTGCTGATTTGATCGGTGGATTTGGTGGTTTCAACTTCGGTGGCTTTGGTCCTAAATCTCGCAAAACTAGTCAACGAGTATTTATGAGCGGTGATGATGATTTTGGTTCATCGACTCCTAAGAAAACGAAAGTACAAGATCCCCCGATCGATAAGGACTTGTTGGTGAGCCTCGAAGAGCTAGAAAAGGGAGCCACGAAGAAGATGAAGATATCTAGAAACATAATAGACGAAAATGGCATGCAAAGAACTGAAGAAAAGGTGCTGACAATCCACATCAAGCCAGGATGGAAAGAAGGGACGAAGATCACKTTCACAAAAGAAGGGGATGTAAAGCCAGGGGTAATACCCTCTGACATTGTATTCAAGATCAAGGATAAACCTCACAAGAACTTTACTAGAGATAAGGACAATAACTTGATTTACACTGCTAAAATACCTCTAAGAGCTGCTCTATCCGGTAGAATCAGTATTGATGTACCAACACTCAGTGGTCRCAAGATTAGGGTATTTAATGATAGTGAAATCATTCAGCCTGGCTCGACAAAAATACTGGAAGGGCATGGCTTACCTCTGCCGAAAAATACGAATTCTAGAGGCAACTTGATTGTAAAATATGACGTGTACTTCCCGAACTATTTACCTTCTGACAGGAAAAACAATATCTTGGACTTGCTACCTAATTGAAAAACATACATTGCACAGTTAAATTAATATACTTAATAGCCAAAAATATTAATTTTATATATATTATGTATAAACCTTCATTGCAAAAAAGTTCATACAATAGAATACGAGAGTGTAAATATTTTTTTGTTGTTTTGTAAATAAATTGTTTTCGATTGAGATTCTGACTTTTATATTTTGATTGCAATCTACAGTTCTCTCCACCATCCCCTCCCCCACCTACAGTACTATTAACACAGGTAACCCAAAGAATAAGATATACACATTGACATTTGGCTTCCTGGCGTGTTGTCTTAGAGTCTAATATCTTTGTCTTAAATGAAAAATAAAGATATTTATCTAAACTCATCTAGAATTTTCTTAAATCTTCGACAACTTTGTGTGAATTTTCTATGTATTTTTGGAGCTATTGGGTTGCCTGTGGTGGTTCCCAATCTCCTTCGAAGATTCAGGTCATGTGGTAGAAGTTCTCGTTTCATGCTTCTCTTAGCCAGGAGAACACGTTTCTTAACAAAGGTGTTTACAACTGCTTTTTTGCCACCAAAAGCAATTTCAAAGACCTGTTTACACCGCCAGTTAAGGATTTTTACTGCTATGTCTTCAAGCGATCAGAATTCAGCTCCAAATGATCAGTCAGTCGTGTCTCAACTCGGGTAAGTTTGCCGAGAATTTTATAAAATTTGTTGAAAACATTTCTTGCATCATCCTTTATGAGATTAGTTATTGAGACGTAACGTTAATATTAAACCACTAGGCCTGATGGTAAGCCATTATCTAAGAAAGCGATGAAGAAATTGGAGAAAGAAAAGGAAAAGGAAAAGAAGAAGTCTGAACGCGAAGCTCAAAAAGTAGGTTACAATAGTCGGGTACAAACATGTACTGTACGAGATATCATAATTAGCAGTTGACATTGGCCTAATAGGTTGATAACTGGCTATACCATGTTTATGTCAGAGGACGGAGACTTTCTGGAAATTCGTTCAAAATTATTTCATAAAAGCTATATAAAACCGCTGCTTTTGTCTCTGCATTATGATATGAACATTCTAGGAAGACTTTAAAAGCTAGAGAAACACTTGGCTATACCTCACGTTCAAAGATTGCTTCTCATGTCCTACAACTTCCAGTGTCACGCTGTTTATATCACAGAACTAAATTTCTTGATTATACTGTATATAAACATTACTATTTATTCATTCATGCATTTGCTACTATCCCATTCATTCATCCATTCATCCATTCATCCATTCACTCACTCACCCACTCACCCACTCACCCACTCATCCATTCATTCATTCATTCATTCATTCATTCATTTGCTTACTATCCCATCTATTCATTCATTTGCTTACTATCCCATTCATATATTTCCAGGCAGCTGAAGCTGAAGCTCAAAAGGCAGAAGTAAGTGTTACAAAACATAAATTCAAAAGTGATGATTATTTACTCTTATTACTTTACCTATGCCTTTCCATTGCTGCAGAAGTGATAGTATAGTAAGAGATAACAGCACTCCTAGTCTCCTACGCAGCCGCTATTAGTTTCGTCACGCAACGCTCACTCCCCTAAGTAGCGACTGCTTACCCGAGCACAACATTCCATTCCCTCAAATTAACCAATCACAGCTCTAGTCCCAAAATCGAGAACTAACTCGTGCTATTATCACTACGAAATGGCGCACTTCGAGAGAGYGTTTGGAGAAAGGGAGCACAAAATTTCAAATAACGACTTTTAACGATTATCAGAGGGTAGCTATATGTTTCATAGTAGAAGAGAAAAGAGATGTGTTTATAAATCTGCCGACAGGCTTTGGAGAATCTCTCCTATTTCAAGCTTTAACCGTCCGTGTTGATGACCTTACGAATGAGCAAGAACATGATACTTGTTGTTGTGTCACTCCTGATCAATCTCATAACAAGCTACTATTATTGATATTTATCTTAGCTGTAGAACTGTAGATCATTTCTTTTAACTGAAGAGATTTTGCTGCCCCTCTAGAGCTGATCGCGAGTACAATTTTCAAACTTTAAGAGGACTTTGTAGCAAGCATTGTTATGCAAACAAACAAACTTTGCAATTAATTATTCAAATCCACGTCAATCGCAGATATGATAAGACCCGRAATATCTCAGAACTTTTGTAAAAAAAAATCTTGTTATTCTTCAGACAAGATTGAGAACAGAGATAACATTTATCCTCACTTTAAGTTAATGTTGATTCTTCTTCTTCTTCGAATGGAGCGGTAAATCAATGTCACACTGTTCCTTGTTTGGTTAACCACAGACAAAGGGAATGGAATGTTGTGCTCGGGTAAGCAGCCGCTACTTATAGGGGAGTGAGCGTGGCGTGACGACACTAATAGTGGCTGCATAGGAGACTACAGCACTCCTTGAATTTTATTTATTAAAAAATCACATCTCACAACTGCCACTTCCCATAGAGGGGTTTTCCGTGAGGTTCCCTGATCTAAACACACAACTACTACATTGTATAATTTACAGCATACGATACTCAACTCACATGTTGATGTTTTCTAATCATAATATTATAATATTAACTTCATGTGCTTGTTTTAGGATTTTGCAAAGGATAGCTATTGTGTTCTCCCATTGATCCAGTCAAAGGAAAAAACATGTAAGTAGAAAGTGCAGTATTGTAAAAGCATATCATAAGAACCCTGAGATGTGCTATATTCAGGTATTCAGTATTTTTGTTTTTATAAATTTTATTAGATATACCTTGAACATGCATTCACTGCTTTCCATACATTTGTTCACCGGTTAAACAAAAACCATGCATTCAGAGCTACAAGGTTCAAATTTGAATAATCCTTTGAAACTACCTTGAAGCCTGATGTATGGAAAGTGGTGAATTGTTGTATAGTGAAAGATTTAGTTATTGTCAAGAATGTTTTGAGAGAGACTGTGTTGTTGTTATAATCAGTTTTCTTATTGAATTATGAACGTTTTTTTCTATAGCGCGAAAATGGACCAAAGTTCAAAACCTGACAGCAGACCTTTCTGGACAAAAAGTACTTGTCAGAGCAAGACTGCATACTTCAAGAGGAACAGGTACTTGAATTTAGTTTTTAGCATTTATATATTTCGCTTTAATCCTTTTGTATGTGATAAATTTATGTATTTTTGTTCAAACAAAATGCATGCAAATTTTGAGTAGATATTTTAATCCAAACTTTCTTTAATAATGTGTTGCATTTCAGGAAAGCAGTGTTTCATTACCCTAAGAGACCGCCAGTATACTGTTCAAGCTATCTGTGCTGTTAGTAACATTGTTAGTAAACCAATGGTCAAGTTTGCTGTTGGGTGAGTTCATTGATAGTGGCTCAACTTTTCTCTTACTCAATGCACTGGTGTCTTTCACTTACTTTTTAGCAGTATTGTACATAAATATGCAATCATCCCATGAGTAAGAATATTATACAAAGTGTCCCTAGCTCACATGCTAATTATTGTAGCCAGAGTGAAGTGCATGCCCACACTATTGGTTCCACCATTAGACATGTATAACAAACAATAATCCCTGTTTTTTAAGATAAGTTAGGCTAAATGTTACACATGTTTGACAAGCTTCCTTTACTTTCCTTTGTTCAAGGATTAACAAGGAGTCTATTGTGGATGTCGAAGGAGAAGTCAAGAAAGTTGACCAGCAAATTAAGAGTTGTAGTCAACAAGATGTTGAGATATCTGTGGAAAAGGTATTGTATTTAGCAGGGATCAATATTACCAATATTAATTTTTCAAGGTCTTCAAATATTTYGTACAAATGATATGTTACATGTGTGGTGGGAAATAAATGTTCAAATAAAGTACTTCCATAAAACTCTGAAAATAAGCCCTTTCAAAAMTAAGCCCATTATCACATGATTCTAATGTTCTCGGGCAAACATGAGGCTTATGTTTGAAGGTTTATGGAATTTGACATCATAGTGTTATTCTTTTTCTACACTATGACATGATGATGATTTTGATAGTCATATAAAACTATTTTAACCAGACATTGTTGTTTAGTTGTTTGTAGTCAGTTTGTCAGAGCCTCGACTACCACTTCAGATAGAAGATGCATCCAGACCTGATACTGATGAGGTACAGCTACTTTATGTTCAAAAAAATCATGTCTTTCTATTCAGACATCTGAACTGAGAATGTTTTATGCTTAATTTATATGAAGGCTAAATGTAATTTAGGCAAGGTTAAAACCGAGACAATGCTTGCCAATGATCTCCCACATGGTACCTGGTTGGGGGTATTAGGGGCTTGAAATGTGCTTGCCGCTTGATTAATTCCCCTCCTTGCTGATCATCACGGATAAATCACACACTAGCCCAATAATTATTGCTGATCATTGCCATCCCTCTGCTCAGCTACACCTAATTCATGCTTCCCTCTCAAASTGTAAAAATATTGTCCCACCAAAAACTACACAGATCCATTTTAAAGAGCTCTATAACAATTATGAGGCAGTTTTCTTTTACTTTAAAAAAACAGTCAATCAATTTTCTGCAATCAGAGTTTTAAATCTTGATATGTTCTAGCTAATTTGTTGAGCTTGTGGGACATAGCAACGGTAACTAAGGGGAGCTGAACCATGAATGATGTGGGGAGGGAGAGGGGATTGAGGGGGAATACCTATAGCCTCACATATCTTTCAAATATCCACTTTTTTGATTTATTTTGCAGCTTGCCCATGTCAATCAAGACACTAGACTTGACAACAGGATTATTGATCTAAGGGTAAGTACATTTCTCTAATTAGATCTTAAAATAGAGTTTTTAGATGATTCCTCAGCATTTCTTGACACCGGTGGCATATACTGCTTATGCGTGGCGTTTCAATAATATTGATCCAAAGGATCGGATCAATATTTTGAGCACTGCAGTTGCCATACATATTTTTGTGAATAGAGTTTGTTTGATGCGTTGTTTTCTCCCTTGTAACAAGGGTTTTTCTCTGGGATTATCAGTTGTCCTTCATGAGTAAAAATTTACATGCGAGTTTAATGTATTATTTATAGAATAGTGGGGGACTTTTCAAATGGGCCATGGTTTCCCTTGTGTCCTCCTGGGCCTTGCCACAAGAAAGGATTAAATGTAAAAGAATATAAGTAAAAAAGAAATTAATTACTAGACAAAAAAGTTGCTAAAAGTAACTTGATGTCATACATAAGCGCTGTTCATGGACATTTCTTTACTAATTATGTGTTTAATAATTTATCAATTGTTATAAATAATCTATTATACTGAACTTGCTGTTTGAATTGTACTTATGTCTGTAGACCATCCCAAACCAAGCAATATTCAGCATAGAAGCTGCTACGTGCAAATTGTTTCGGGAGTATCTTGAATCTAAAGGTTTTCATGAAATCCACACACCAAAGATTATTTCAGGTACGTTCAAGGATAGTATTATGGCAATAGTATTATCATTTTCACTGCCAAAGCAGCCATTCACCTCATACACACGGCTAAGTTTTGGGAACACGAGTTTTGCCGAGGCTGTGATTAAGCTACCGGAATGAACTATTATAATGGAGAGATGTTGCTGAAGGGGAGGTGGGTGGGGTCAAAAATCCGTCTAGCACTGACTGGTACAGCGGTAGGCAACTGCCATCCCAGGGGCATTCATAGTGCTTGTCACCTAGGAATCACACCCAGAAAGTCATGATAACATTCTGCGCGTACTCCTTTCATGGCTGCTTTAAGGGTGAAAATAGGTAAATATGATTATTCATCATTCTATGATATAATTTTGTGTTTTTATAGCTGCCAGTGAAGGTGGAGCCAATGTGTTTGAAGTTTCTTACTTCAAAGGTACATTAACTGTCAAGTATTGTTTTTCAATTAATTTGGTGCATATATTATAGTTTAATGATCATTCAAAATGACTTCTCTATGCATTGTTTGTTCTCAGGAAAGGCATACCTGGCTCAATCACCACAGCTTTACAAGCAAATGGCTCTGACTGCAGATTTTGATCGTGTTTACACCATTGGAAGTGGTATGGGTGTTAATTAGCTTATTTAATCTCATTTCAGACCACGTGTCAATAATCCCTTTGACATCAAATTCTTTATTTTGTTTATTGAAGTTACATCCATATTAGAGCAGTTTTCGTATGACTGTGAAAAGCTTGTGACCATGAAATTTTCTAGAATTTTGATTGGCTACATTTTTTCTTGTGCAATGTGATTGGTCTGGCACAGTATGCCTCGGCATATCACAACCATGTTCATGCCATGAACTTTTCACAGTCATTTGAAAACTGTTTAATGCTCAGTATTTCCTCAATTATTACCTGTAGGCAAAGAGATGGTACTCAAGGGAAGATATAACATCATTCCTAAACTATAGGTCTAGGTTCATAAACTTGATGTCAAGAGTATTGAAAAAACTGTGATCACAACAACGTGTATTAACTATACAATATTTACATGTATATATTTCTGATTCTTATTCATTACATTTGGTTAGTTTTCCGTGCTGAAGATAGCAATACTCACAGACATCTATGTGAGTTTATTGGTTTGGATGTTGAGATGACATTCTATGAACACTATCATGAGGTTAGTCTAATATTATTTATGTGCAATGTGTTTAAAGTTTGTAAATGGTAAGCTCTTAGTTTTGTTGATATGTAAAAGGGTGTGTCTGCTAGCTCACATACTGTAGTGTTGGTGGATTTACCCACCCCACCCCTGTTAGGTTTGCAAGCGTGCGAGTGCGCATGTGTGTAATAAAGAGACGAGCATCAAAGCACATGGTTTAGTGTAGTTGATTATTATTTAGAAAATACACCACATTTGGCGACGAGGATCACCACAAAGATAATCTTAGATATAGA